TGAAAAATTAGCACATGTAACTCAGCATTTTTATTTACAATATGGGAAACCTGTCAACGAAGCTAGGCAACCTATCTTGTCATGTTTTGCATAAGTGGGTCTGTTACATTGAGAATGTTGCCATCCTTTTGACAGAGCTTATGCCTTAAAAGGGCATTTGAAGCCATTAGTTGCAAAGCTCAACAAAGAGCTTAAACGAGTGGAAATTGATGGTGTGCAATGTAAAAAATTCAGAATTCTAATAGAAAGAATGCATGAAAGGACAGCAGTAAGGACTAGAAAGGACAAAAAATTAGCACAAAATTCGCTAATGCAAGCAACATTTTCAATGCAAAACAGAAAACAATCTAAACCCTGTACCTTCAGTCAATGTGCACTTGTCAGGAGTTGTTCCTCGCACATGGATAATGCCACATCTGTTAGGCATTTCATCTTCATAAGGATAGTCAGAGCCGTTGTAATAATCCAGAGAATGAACCACCCTCAGGTATAAAATCAAACGATCCAATACCCGCAATAGGCTGTTGTCACGTGATAAATCTACCTCAAGTTTCTCCCCAGGCTCCCCCTGATGTGGCGAGGCTGTTCCCATCAGTTCCATCTCCTCGCCTTCTTCCTCCTCAGTTGCATCTTCTGAAAGTGAGGCTAAAATAGGGTTTTCACTTGGAAGGTTGGGTATTTCAGAATCATCAACAGGTTTAGCTTCACATTCTTCACCCTCCTCTGTCCTCTGTAGAACAAAATAATGCACGATCGCTCAACTAACTGGAAGATTATTACTTGGAATCTTTCTTGTAACAATCAATGACTAATCACCATATAAGATCAATAAACCAAACAACACAAACGACAGGCAGACATGTTTAATACCTGGGATATCCTCTGTATACTGGCCTATACTTAGTTTGATGCATAGACGGCAACTGCTACTGAAATCTACTGCTATGTAGTTCCCTAGCTACACAAAGAACACATTGTGATTTTCTCAATAAAAGAAAACAGAAACTACAAGTGAAGTTGTGCATTTCTTAGTAAGTTGTTCGTGCAGTTTAGTAACACAGCCGGCATTACAGTAAATGTTTCGACCGTGAGTTGCAAAGCACGTTCCATTTAGCACATGATTTTATGTCAACCAAGGCAGTGGAAGTAATATTATACCACACTTGGTGCCAAATGTGCAAACTCCAAACTAAGACCCAGCTCGTTTGCTTTTTGGTGAGTTTTTCAATAAAGCCAAAGGGTGAGAATTTGATCCGCCAACGCGTCAGCTGACACTGAATGTCAAGTAATGACAGTCGGCGGTAAATACGCCTTTCTACTGAAATGTCGGCTGAAATTCGATAAAACGTATATATTATAGACTCATGCAGCTTATACCTCAGCAGCTTCTTTCTCGGCTTTCTTTCTCGCCTCAGTCTCCTCCTTGCTCTCTTTCTCATACAGTGTAGATCGCTTGTCCAGTATGCGGATGAGCCTGGCTGCTAGTTTGATGTCATCACGAATGACTTGTTTTGTTGTAGCAGCACCAGCAACTGCTCGAACTCGACGAGAAAGATCCCTGTTCACTACTGGGCTCAACTCGACATCTTTCACCTTAATTGAGTGAAAATATTTAAACCAAGTTTGCATTCCATCACTAAAACTACCAAATTGAAATGAAACACCACTTGAACCACCATACCAATAGTAAACCTTATTTTACTTGTCCAAGCCATAACTTGAATCTTAACCTTCAAGACTTAAATGATGCATACTGGACAACCCCCAAAATAGCACATATTTTGCGAGAACAGGGTTCAAAATGTGCCAGTATTGTAGCTGACAGCAGCTCGCTATTTTGCCGCCAGCAGTATATTATTCGTTGCCTGCTTCAAACTGAAGTTCACTGATCCTGACTAATAACGACCTAAACTGACAAACTTAAATGTTTGACCATAAGAAAGATATCAAAATAACAACAGCAACAACAATAATAATAATAATAATAATAACAATAACAAGAACTTTATTAGAATCTCCTCAGAAAACCTATTTACAAATCTTCACACATCCCACTATTGTAGACTAAAATTTTGATGAAAACAAAATATCATGAGATCCTAAAATACTTATTCACAAGCTCATGCCATCATCGACTTTCTATAATTAGTGGACATACACCCGGTTAAGGTCTATATGTAAATGGCAGACTTTCATTATTATCATAATATGATAATAGAAATAATAATCATAATCATAATCATAATCATAATCATAATCATAATCATAATCATAATCATAATCATAATAAATTAACAGGAATGTAAGAGATGGGGCTTCTTTCAAGCCAAGAGCAGTGAAAACGATGTTGGTTGCGACAACTGCTATTTTTTGCATTATAACTTGTCACTTTTCAGCAGTTCAAACAACTATTGAAAGAGAATACATGTTAAATCCTGTTTGGTTACAACTTAAATGTTGAATCCATAGCCTTTATCAACCCCGCCCCCCTTTTTAGACTGATTGATTAAAGGGGATGAGCAACCCAAGTAAATATTCTTAGGGCAACTTAACTACATCCTGTGGCTGCCCCTGAGACAACAAGAAACGAAATCTAGTTTAGAGCATTGGTTGTAAAGTCAACCATCCATTGGCTGTTAAGTCAACCATCGAGGTTGACTTAAAAGAAAATAATAAGTGGTAAGGTGACAAACTAGTGACTTATAAAATGAATATCAATTTTAATAGCAAGACAGAGGAGCACTGACTTAAGAATGGGAACAATGTTATTTTCAAGTATAATTATAATAATTACACTGCTGTACTTGGCTTTGTAAATGACATGGTATTCCACTAACCCGAATGTTATTCAAATCCCAGCAAATTTCTTTTATGTTTACACTTCGATCAAAAGTGATCCATCCTCGTCTGAAGAATCTACAAATAATAAAGTGAAAATAAGCACAATCACACAGCAGCACGCCTCCATATGAACTTTCTAATAGTGTTGGAATTGACATTTCATAATTGATTATCAGGAATAACTGGATTGTCACAAACAATCCATCATTGATTACAATCAGACAACACTGCTAATAAGTACTCCGTGTATTTCTTATTTAACCTGGCTGAGTGCATACAAGTTTAAGCATACCCCAAGCTCAGTAAAAGAACCTGTCTTGTTGAGATCATGGAAAACAAGTACACAAGGCAAGGCTAGTGGACTGGGTTACTTTGATTCAATGTTGTAACATTCTGTATTTTACCACAATGTTGATGATTGCTTTGATTGCATTCATTTGAAACACTTGGGATAGCAGTAATATTAGAGAAATCATTGTGAAACATATTTTTTCGGGCCATTATTTTGTGAGTTTTTGTTTAAGTTTTGGTACAATTTGTTACTTCAACCAAGTAGGTTAGTTTGATAAAAGCAATGAACTAGCCAATCCAGACTTGACTACCAGCTAACTGAACACCTGGAACAGGCTATTAGTATGGGAGAAGAAACACACAAAAAATATACCTGTTTAGTGATAACCCCCTTCATCTTGGTATTGTTCAAATATTTGCCACTGGACTAAACAGTGAAGTTTGAGCCCAGTCATCATGTTTAACTTACTTTCTGTCAGGACTGGGATCTGAGAGAGCAACTCGAAGATATCCAGCGAATCTTTTACACACCTACAACAAAAACACTTCCATTGCTAAGATGTCCAGCAAATCAATTACATGAGAGCTACAACTAAAGCATTTCCACAGCCAAAAGTTAACCAGTACCGGTATATAATCCTATAGATTAGTGTCAAGATAAAAAGGATAAATACTTACAGCTGCAATGTCAGCTTTTGATATGTTTGGAGGAATACTCCTCATGAACAGAGAGAATGTTTTGTGCAGTGCCCGTGGTCCTGCTGTGATGGAAAGCTGATTTCCTTCATCACCATCAATTTCTTCCCCTTCCTCCCCATCTTCTGTTGTATCTTTCTCCTTTTCCTCAACTGCATTTTCTTTGCCGTCTTTTGACGATTCCTTAATGGGGCTTGTTTCTTCAACAACTTCCCTCTTCTCTGAAATTTTGTTTGAGTCTTCTACTGTTTTTTCTACCTTGACTGGATCAACTTGTGACGCCATCTGAAACAAGATTTACATAAATTATTATGTTATTCAGCAGGAGATTCCTGATGCAAAACAGTGGTTGTGTATCAAGAACTTTCCATAAAATGATAGATGCTAATGGAATTATTTTCCTCAACATGAATCTGTTGTTATTTAGAAATGGTATTCGGCCTTACCAATGTAAAACCTTTTGAACACTTAGTCCTTTGCTCGTTATTGATTAGGACTAACCTCTTACTAAACTACATAAGACGCCAGGCCCATACTGAGGAATATTGGCCTGAGGTTATGGCAGTACGGACAGAGCCTAGCAAGGTCCATACAAAAACACCTAAGGGCCAGTTTCTTAGTATGGCTCTAGTTAAGTTAGTACCTGTAAGTAATTTATTATATATGGCATAACACAAAAAATACACAGTATAAGACTGTTCCCATGTATGAGACTGTTCCCATGGAAATGGTCCATATGGCAAAATCATGACCAAGAAAACAAACAATCAAGGCTCAGGTTTACCTCAAGACTACCTTGCCATATAATAAACAAGTTAAATACTGACTGTGCCTGTTTCTCGTGATAGCATCTGGTATAGCACCAGTCTTACCTGTTCAACTGGTTCAGCTTGTTCAGCTTGGAGAGGAGATGCACTTGAAGGTTTAGCCTCCATAGGCAATACCTCCTTCCCTTGTGCCTCACTGCTGCTTGATTCTGGAAGCATCTCAACATCTTCATCTCTCTTCACTCCAGTGATGCCATTATCAGTACTACCAACTTGGTCTGCATCTTTTTCTGGGAGTGAAGAGCTGCTTTCTGCCTGCTCTCTGCTACTTGTTTCAGCCTGGAAAGTTTGCTTGGTTTCTTTTTTGTGTGGACCTTGAGTTGAATCTGCAGCTGTATCATCTGTTGAAAGAGTATAGAGAGATATCAAGAAAACTTTATGACTTACTTTAATCAGACAAAGTATACTTTCAAGCATCTAAACTAGCCTTGAAAATTCTCCCTACATTGCACTTGCAAGACTCGGGCAATGTGGTGAAAATTATTTTTCTGATATCACTCATAGAGGTAATCCTAATAGCACCCACATTCATACAATATGGGTGATTGCAGAAAATATCCATACCCTACCACAGGCAGCATGAACATTTTAACCCCCCAACCTTGCATTTGAAAATTCCAAAATGCTCTACCCCCATGGCCTCCGAATTCCAAAACTGTTACCCCCCTGTCCCTTCCAGATTTCCATTTTTTACTTCAACCACCTGGATTCCTAGTTTGACTTCCTACGAATTCCAAGGAAAGAGATTTTGAGATTTTACACTTAAATATTATATCTTCCAAGAAGTTTACCAACTGTCTACAGGGCTTGAAATTGCCACCAACATGATTGCATACATTCAAGACTAAATGTTCGGCGACTAAAACTTCTTCCTCTCCAGTTGAAATTTTGCAACTAGTTTTTGACTAAACTAGTGACGGAATAAAAATTTCCATTATTTTGTGGGTTAATTACTATGGAAATTAGACCATCGCTGGGCAAATCCTGCCTAATTTACCTTTGATATAGAAAAGTCTTAATGTCATAGTTAAATGTGAGGGGGTGAGGGGATTTTGTATTTTGTATTTTATTTTTATGTATTTTTCTTCCCTTTTGGTGGTCTGTTTTTATATGCGGTTTAGACTCCTTTATAGATCGTCCATATGGCTTAGTTTTATTCTTGGTAGTGGTCAATAAATCATAATAAACAATTAAATAAATAAATAAATAATTATTGTAATTGCAAAGATTCTAGAGGTTGCCTTTACTCAAATCTTAAACAACTACAGGGGTAGCGTGGTGCGAGATATTTGAACTCCACTTGGTAGATTCAAACTGATTTAATGACAGATCAAGTCCATAGATCTATTTCACAATAGGTAGTGGAAATAGTGAAAACCAGTAGATCGCTAGTGGTAGCAGATATGAATAGGAGTAGTAGCTGTACAAGTAGATGTAGTAGGTTCGAACTGAAAAGCGATAGTTAAGAACATGTCCTACTTAGATAAGGCATAAAATACAAATCTAACAGGATAGAACAATCATAATAAATTAACAAGATCACAGCGTGAAACAAATAGACGTGACAATTGATACTTGAAACTAATAAAACTGAGACGATAACGACTCTTGTCGTAACAAACGAAAATATCAACGGCTATCTTGCAAAATAGCTAAATATAGCGTGAAAGAATCACAATTTGGTAATCATATGACAATTGGACTAATACGGCAACTTGACAATGAGCCTTAGCAATAGTAGAGTTGAGAAAGCAATTTCAACAAAACCTAGATAAACTAAATGACACCTTTTCGTGATAAAGAAAAGACTAACAATTCGTGACTTAGAAAAGAACTACAACAATAAGAACTTACATACTTTGGTTGACAACTCACACCAAAAGGTAGCAGAGAGACAGCAAAATACACTTGAAATAGCGGCAACTTGGATCCTCTGATCGTAGCATGGTAGCAGTGTAACTTCACTAACAATCTCTGACTAAAAGAGGTTGTGCGTCATCTTTTATTGCCTATGTTACGTGAAAAAACTAGGGCATTGTGAGAAACATGGCGCCCACAATAAAGACAACTTCCCAGCGGCAAAATTCCTAGGACTATTACATACGTGTGAAAATCACGATTTTATGAAAGCTTTAGGAAGTTGCATAGGAAATTGATAAGTGATCGGCGTTTCAAAACTAACAATTATGAATGATATTCACTTGTTCAGACGCCATTAGAGTGGTTTCTTTATGAATATGTATCGCTGGCACATAGTAAATAAACATGGCAGGTCAACGGGTTGGCGTTCGTCACAAATGATTTTCTGACAAAAAAATTCATCAACTTTAAGGTCTCTGGAGCCCAATGCACTTCCTAGGTTTTATCGCTTTTCTTCTGTAAATGAACATGATCACGTGTGATCGATTAATGCTTGTCTTGTATCTCTACAGTAGTCAGCAGTGTCATCATTTCATTTGTACTTTCACACTCTTGTCTGTCCCTCTAGAAAACCCCCTAATGCCCTTGGAATTGCAATCATAAGTACCCCCCCATGCCTTTGGATTTCCAGTTCAAAGAACCCCCCTTACCCTTGGAATCCCAAAAAGTTGCCCATGGTATAGGTATGGATATTTTCTGGAATCACCCATATTACCTACACTAATTCTGAACCTTGTGAAGATAACACAAATCTAAACCTTGAAGAAAAAACTCGTTGACAGAAATATTCCACAACCAACAACAAAACAACTCTACAGGACTTTAGAAACAAAAACAAACTTGTACCCCCAAAAAATCTGAACCCAACTGAGTGCAAGACAGGCATATTTTGACTATTCCTTAGATGGAATATAATTAATTTAGTCTCCAGTCAAGTTGTCTCACAAATTTGGGAACCCATTAAGGTATCTTGGTAGGTGGGTTGACAGTGTTTGGAAATTGTGCTCTTACACTGGCACTTTGAAAGAAAACCCCATCAACCTATACATTTTCTGAAAGCTTAATAGTTAAAGAATACAATTAAATCTTTGAAATTTTATAAAAAGGTATTGTCGCAGTGAAATTCAAAGAAATACACAGAAACGCTGCTTCACTTAAACTGGTTTGCATCCGCGTTTGAATTATCAGAGCAGCACGATTAACATCGGAAATGTTTTCTCACACATTACCCTCAAAAAGTCTGTCTGCGATTTTCCAGATGTGGGTTGGTTTTTTTCCTACACCCTCCTAAAGTTTGATATTTTCAACGCAGACGTTTCCTTCTACTAAAGAGGCCATAACTTTGAAACGGAAACGAAATTAAACAAAGTCTGACACTTTTTCGAAGGAGGTATCCTGGAACATACCTGCCAATTCTATTGGAAGATGCCTGTAAATAAACTAAAAATGTTCATCCTTACATGCAGTTTTATTTTACTGAGAAAAAGACGAAAACCTTTTATGAGATTGGTATGATTAGGTGTTAAAAATCCCTTCTGCACTGACAGAAAAAAAGTGGTAAAATACTGAATAAATGATATCTCTGGAAATATTGAAGCAGTGTTCTTGAAACTTGGCACCACCAATGTGCTTCACAAAAGAACCAAAATGGACACTGCGTCAATTTTTCCAGAGATATTGTTTATTCAGCATTTTACCACTTTTTAGTTACAAACAATATGACATCATCGCTGATCTAATTTGCATAATAGGAAAGTGTCAATATCTCTAAAACGAAAAAAGATATTTCAAAAAGAAAAATGCCATTCTTCTGTATTTTGAAAGGCCTTTCAAATAAGCAGAAATTATTTTTCATATCATATGCACTTTAAAAAGTAAAAAAGCTTTTCTTGCCATTCTTTCACCAAATAATTATTTTGCAAAAAGGTGAATTCTTACGAAAAAAGGCAAAAAATATTTTTTTGGCTGTTCAAATTGAGAAGACTGAGATAATTGTTATCTCAGTCTTCTCAATTTGAAGAGCAAAAATATATTTTCCGCATTTTTCATAAGAATTCACCTATCATGATACCTTAATTAAATGTATAAAACCACAAAGGTTACTACCAAATCTACTAAAATATGTTTTTAAGGTATCAGTATACCCCAAAATTGACCACTTTTTTGCATTTTCAGATAGATCTTACTGCAATCTTTCATTTAACACAATTTCTATGAAAAAAGATTGATTCTAAGCATTCTTTGCAATAATTACCTCTAACTGATAGCTGTCAACGGGTTGTCACATTAAAACATTGTGTGACAGAATGCCGCGTAGTAGGATTGTCAAACATTTGTGTTTGGTAGTCAACTAGCTGTTATGAGTTTTCTTCGCGTGTAGATTGTTGATTTGGGCTTAAATATGTCATCAAAGAAACGCAAAAGTTTGTGTCCATTTGCAAGTGTGAAGAAAGCACCAGAGAGGATAAAGCCAGGGCAGAAAATTTCAAAAACAGTTGATCAGAATTGGGCTGATGTGTTACCTGGCTAGTGACAAAAGTTCCTGCTCTGAGCAGGAGAGGTTGCTTACACTGGACGAGGAAGACATTTTACATTCTCTAAAAATTACTTCCTTGGCGCTTTCACCATTCGAAGCAGTAATGGTAACATCTCAACTCAATCAGTATCTTGTGGGTTTCCTTTATGTTGTTTATTGTAAATAAGTTTTTTTTTTGTTTTAATTTCTAGTATTTTTTAATAGTTAGTTTATTGTGACTGAAAAGCCCTGTTAAAGGGAGTTCCAATAAAGTATGTATGTATATGTATGTATGTATGTATGTACGAGTACACTCTTTTGTTGCCTACGGCATCTCTAAGCTAAGGCATTTTAAAAATTGAAAAGAAGAAACAAAGCGAAAATTATTTTCTACACTAACCTCGGCGCACAAGCAGTGGAATTCAGATCTTGCACAGGATATTTCCTGCTGGAGCCAACATTTGAGACTCCTTTGTGATTGATACAAGCTCTATTGTTAAGGTATCAAAGAAGACCTATGGCCAAACTTATGGATTAAGTAATCTAGAGATGAAACATGTTGATGAACTTGCAATTATTGGTGTATTATTAAAGTCTGTTAAAACAAGCCGGGTTCATACCATGCAAGGTTGCACTCATCTCACAAACGTAGGCTTTTTTGCTGGCTTTTGTTGTACACATAGTACAAACACATACGTCCAGAATAGCTAGGGTGGCAAAATTGCAGCTGAACATGGAGTGGTAAAGGTTAAGGGTTTGTGGGTCACAGAGGACACTCCTACCAAAAACTTCATGTATTCAAGTTGTAGGAGCTTACAGACCTTTTTCATTGCATTTCACTCAAGGCTATAGGTAAGGTTTCTTACAAGACAGCACTTCTTTTCCAAAGTGGGACCACTTGTCTCT